CTTCCGATCTAAAAAAAAAAAGTCTTTCTCCTAAAACTGAAGACACTACGAAAAGCTTTCATAATAACAGCTTCGGAATAGCTAACTACAGTGAAAAATGCTTCACCTTTCCAATATTACCATAATTAAGACATTGCAACAGAGAACACCAAACAACAACTGCTGGATAATTAATATTAAAGCATGTCCAAACTATAAATCCGAAATGGATTAAAATCCAAATTGAATCCAAAACTATAAAATGGGCTGGGGCAGCACAGAGGCTCTCAGAAATCTCATTTGTAGCCAGAGGTGGTTGCCACAGAGGACTACAAGGTGGCCACACAACTGGGCACCTCCTGCACCTTCCACAGCCAGGAGATGGCCCATAGCATGTCACTGAGCTGAGACTGAGCACTTCTGAATGGGTATATGGCACCGTGAGGCTTTTCTAGGACTAAACCACCACATTTAAAGAGAAAATGTAACTTAGTACTCGGAAGTTTACCATTATACTGTTAATTCTATTTTTTCCAGCAGCCTTACCTTAAGTTTCCTAGGACAGTCCCTAGTGCATCGTTTCTTTTTGCTGGGCGTAAGCATTGTGATCACTTTATCTAGACCTCTTTCCAGATTTCCGAATATTTTGGCTTTCCTCTTCTTTTGGCTGCTGTTTGCATGAGCAACGTTGAGATCTAACTCCCCTGAATGACACCTGTGAACAAATTACTTAGTTATTTTTCCTCAGCGTTTAGAAATTAGTCCTTTCAGATACGTCATTAAAATATGACCAGACTAAAGAAAACCAAAGCAAGCGCAGTGCATTATGAGAGTTTCTTTCTGAAAGTCAGCTGAGGTTTAGACCCAGAGATGTCTACAGAAGCTGCAGCTCTCGGGGGAACTGGAATAAGAGGGAACTTACATTATGGAAAATAAGAATATATTCTGAAGACAGTTGAGTTACATATTCTCAAAAACTTTTCTCTGCCTGAGTTTGGCAGTGGATGCAGAAAGAGGTTTTAGGAAGCTTCTTATCAGGAGAATGGAAATAACAGCTTGCTGTCGTAACAAGGCTCCCGAGGCAGTGCATGGATTAAGGTAGTCCTGCTTTAAATCAGAAGTGTACACAAATAACTGGACATTTACCTTCGTTCAGGAAGAACCTCAGCTGCTGTCAGTTCATCTCTGTTCGTTGGGTTTGTGGGTTTCTTAATTGGGGTGACGGCAGCAAATGGTCTCTCTGAAAGAAAGCGCCAAAACAGGTAGGTTTTTTGCATAAAGAATTTTCTCTTCTTCAGCTGGGATTTCTCATGATTAATAATTTATTTCTAAAATCACCCCCCTTTTGTACCTCAGGTCTGTATCTCCAGAATGATAACACATGTTTTTAATGTAACAGTGCTATCCCTGCTCTACAAAGACAAACTGTGACTGATTTCCCCAGGGCTCCACAAGCTGAGCCTGAGAGCGACCAATGCTGTTTGGTATCAGAAATTTGGAAAGGAGGAGGATTAGAATCACTTTCTTGCTCTGCCACTGCTCCCAGAATAAATACAACACCGAACAGTTGCGTTCTTCTCCAAGCCATTTCCCCTATAGGAAGGGTGTGAGTTTTGTGGCCGTATTTAATAACACACACCAGGTAACAGCCCGACAGTTCTGCAGAGCACGGGTTTGATTGTGCAAAACACCAAGTAAAACTGAACTCAACTCCAGTGTTCAGAGTTTCAGCTCTCCAGAGAATTGTACCTGGCCTCAGACAACGACGATCCCAAAAATTTCCAATGGATACTTCCACTTTCCCGTCTCTAAGAACATATTAATGCTGCCTTTCCTGAATCAAAAGTCTTCTAATGAAACAAAGAATTAGCTTTTAATTGTTTAACCCTCAGAAATACCTCATTAAAATGAGCTGAAACAGTGTTTCTGCACTTCCCATTTCAGAAAGAAATGGGGGGAAAAAAAACCTTTTGCTTTTTAAACTGATCATGAAGTCAATCTTCACAAGTTCTTCACACACAATCTTAAAAGAAATCAAACTCATATAAACAAGTAGTCTTTGCAGTGCACTTGCTTAAGTCCTTTACAAAGGATGTCATTAGACAGGAGTGTGTCCAAAGTCCCTGATAACTGGAATCAGCCTGCAAAGATTTACTGTTTCTCAACAATGTTCCAAGAGTCTCCTGCTGTAAAGAGGATACTGTGAGCAGCAGTGACTTCAGTAATTAACACACAAGTAACCTGCCCTGATGGATGGTTAAACCTCTTCCAGCACCTTACCCAGGTACCAGAACCACCGGGATGGGGAATAGGGCAAAAAGAGTTCAGTCTTCCAGAAGCAGATATGTTGGATATGCAAGTGTTGTGATGGTATTTTAATTTACAGTAATTTGCAAGCAACGTGTAAGTTTTCACTCGTTCCCTTCAACGTACCTTTGAAGGTGGGTCCCTGGAAGGCCACGGACGGCGCTTGCGTCTCAATCTGGCTCTTGGCCGAGGAAGTCGCTGGAGCAGGAGGCGCAAAGGGCATTTCATCTCTCACAGCTGACTCTGTATCAACGTTCTCTTTGTTTTTGCGCTTCTTCGATGCCACTTTTCTTGTCACTGGAGTTGACAGTGTGAATTCTGTACCGTGCTGTTGAGCATCATGCCTTGAATGCTATGAGATTTAACAAAAAAAAAAAAAAAAAAAAAAAAAAAAAAAAAAAAAAAAAAAAAAAAAAAAATACATCCTTTGCTGTATTCTGATCACATTAAGGAATGTTACAGACAAGGAAATTATAAAATTGAAGCAGCTTAAGAACACCATACAACACTTGTCTGTGGAGCAAAACAGTTAAAAACTCTTCAATACTTTTGATTCCACCTATGACCTGCTAATAAACATCTCAAGTCATTTGTCAATTCTTTTTCTGCTCTTCCACGTTCCCCAGCTTGCATGTTTAAGATTATTTCTCACCAGCTCATCTAAACACAGACAAGAACTTCCACTTGGTTTAATTGTATATTTATAATTGTTTCATTGGATTTTCTTGTCCCATACAGACAAGTTGAACTTCTTCAAGGACCCCTCCAGCTCTAGCCTGGCTTTGAGGTCTTGTTTGCTGGACCTTACTGTCTTCCCGTGAGTTTTAAAATCCTCATTTACTCATTCCCCATCCGCTGTTTTTATGCAAACCCAATGCAAAGCTCAAGTTCTCAAATGAGTCATGGCCTACAGCTGGAGGAAGGCACAATTTATCTTCAGCTAAATATTTAAAACATTTCTTTGCTCAGTTTGTAACTCCCTTTGATGAGGGTCCACTGAACATTTAAATATAAGTTTTAAGTACAATAAAAATAAGATTTTTTAAAATTAAGAATAGCGTATTTAAAAAAAAAAAACCCTAGTATTTATTCCTCAAAATACCGGCTTTTTTCTGTGGGTATTCAGAATAAGTTCTTCTAATGGAGATTGTGGAAACAGTGAAGCTGAGTCAGGAAATTCCATGGACCCAGAGACATGTGTTGCTGCACTGCAGTCTGGCACATCTTCATCTGTCACAGCTTTTCCAGTCTGGAAAGAAAAATTCAGTTCAGATTTCCACTGCAAGGAAAATTTCACCAGAAAGTATCATTAAATTAAATTAAATTTTTAAGTTCCTAATTATGGTTAACAGCCAATGGAAGTCCCCAGGCCAGTGACCTAAGCCTTATACTATGACTTAAACATAGTCACTGTGGATTTACCATTAGTATCCAAAGCAGATGTGAAATTATCCTCAAGCTTTACCAAGTCATCTTTTGAGACCTGCGTTGAGAAGAGAAGCAACTCACAAAAAATACCTTCCTTTGATTTCAAGACTTGGTCCACAAGTTCTTTTACCAAAAGCCAAATAACAAGCTGGAAAGAACCCAAGAAAAGAACGCAGTAAAGTTGGAAAGGGACTGGATAAAGGTAAACACATTACAACCAAGACATGTGATGATGGAATCTGCCACTTGTACTAGCATTCAGAAGCCTTTGAGTAACTGCTAGCTCTGAAAAAAAGTTGTCATTTACAAAACCAGAGGATCCATAACTGCAGGCAAAACTGCTCACACCACATACAGTCAGATCCATACCACAGTATATCCTTAATTTCTAAAACCTTTTCTTATTTTCAGGACACTCTTCCCAGGGACGCATTTCATATCACTCCAGTGAAATTGCAGTTATTTTAAATTGCCAGTCCTCGGTTGGAATGGATCTCAGTTTAGGAAGCAGGTGAGTTTCTTCTTGGTCTATGATCAAGGGTATTGGTAATGAGAGACCTGATCACTGCACTAGAAAAGGAACAGAGCTTCTTGGTGTGTAACCAGACCTACTGGGATGACTTACTAAGAACGCCTTATCAGAGGGCTGACAGCTACAGCCAACAAGCAAACAGCCCCATATTGTAGTTGAAATCATGTTCCATTACAACAGGAATGCCTGAATTCCTTGGCAACCGTGCTCCAGATGAACTTCAGGTCATAGTGAGTTTTTTCAGAATATCCTTCTCCATCAAATTACTTGAAATAAGGCAGTGTTATGAACTGGCTTGTGCCCACCAAATTCAGAAACTGGCCAAATTAAAGTTCCCTTTGCTTGGTTGCCATTACGTTAGACCAGTTCTAGGTAGAGAACTTGACTCGGTGGGCATTTCAGCACATCCAATTGATTCTCACTCACACTACCTACATGTGGTTAAATTGAACATGTCCCAAGAGCTGCAGGAAGACTAATGGGTTGTTGTGTTGCATGGACATGGTTTTCACAATCATCTGTGAAGGCATAATGCCCACATTAAAGGTTAGTATTAGCCAGATCAATTCACCTCAGACACCCCTAGGGATGAAGTGACTTCATGGCATCAGTGCTACCAAACCTGAAGAACCTCCATCATCATCTGTGTGCAGAAGACCAACCCACCATGGTTATGGACAGCACATCATGGGTATTGGGCAACACTTCTGATTTGTGATCTGTTACACAGCACCAGTAATCATAGAATTCCCCTCTGTGTTTCACAGAATGGTTAGATTTGGAAGCAACCTTAAAGCCCACCCAGTCCCACCCCCTGCCCTGGGCAGGGACACCTCCCACTAGAGCAGGTTGCTCAAAGACCCAACCAGCCTGGCCTTGAATCAGTTTCCAAGCAGTCATACGAGTGAGCTGAAGGAATTTATGTGCTGTTGAATCAGATGCATAAGGAACTATTTATTTTGAGCGCAGAGAACAGGACATCCCAAGAGCAAGTTCACAGTTTCACACCAGTGTTTACAGCTCGAGGGGGAATGGTTAATGGGAAGCCTGCAATTTTACCAAAAGATTTTGTCAAACACAGACCAGCATCACCAATATCACCTATAGCAGCGTGTTATATATGGTCTTGCCTGCAATTTAGCAACTTTAGACCAGTTGGGGAGGGACTCTGGATGAGGGAGAGGAGCCGTAGGACAAGGGGGAAGGGTTTTAACCTGCAAGAGGGGAGATGGAGCTGAGCTGTGGGGAAGAACTTGTTTGGTGTGAGGGTGGTGAGAGCCTGGCCCAGGTTGCCCCGAGAAGCTGTGGCTGCCCCATCCCTGGAGGGGTTCAAGGGCAGGTTGGAGGGGGCTTGGAGCACCCTGGTGTGGTGGGAGGTGTCCCTGCCCAGGGCAGGGGGTGGCACTGGGGGGGCTTTAAGGTCCCTTTCGACCCAAACCATTCTATGATTCTATGCTTTTAAGCTCTCAAGTGCCCTATCTGCACTTTGCTACCAAACTACAGTAACAGAAATTACTCTTCAGATATACAAAAAACCACTTGAGAATCCAATTAATCAGAAAAACATCAACAAATTTCATTTATTAAAAATAAACAGAACCCTGCCTGGGATGGTGTTCTGAAAGGAAACAGAAGGAGGAGGAAAGGGTCTCTTCCCTTTGACCATCAGCTCATGTAGGGTTCATGACACCTCAAAGCAGGCTGCCCAGGTGACACACTAGGATGTTCCACAAGACTTTCCTTACTAAGCCACACTAGATGCAACCAGCAAGGTAGAGAAACATTTAGAAACAAATGTGAAAAAGTGCAGTAAGAAGTTTGGCATCACAGAGGAAAACCTGGAATGATAGCACGGGCCAGACACTAAGGAAGTTTAGTCCATTTCTGTGAGTAGCCACGGGGACATTCTGCGTGGGACTCATAAGGCACCATGTCCTCACAGACAGTTATTGCAGTAATATCAATTCAAGAAGCAGCCCAGCTTGCTGAAACACATTAATGAGGAAACTGAACCGTTTAATGACCAAGACTTTGGCTAAATGTGCACAGACTCTCCTACTGATGTTGCTCACCCCTCCTTTCCCCCAAGAAAATGGTAGGGAGAAGAAGGAGAAAAGGAGGGGAAAGGGAAAAGTTAAAAAAAAAAAAACAACCAAACTCCAGTTGTGGGTTGAGATGAAGACAGTTAAATAGAACAGTATCAGAAAAAGGAAAAAAAGATACAGTAAAAATAAGAAGAATAATGACAGGAGTCACTGTCAGGTCCTGGTGAACCGTCACCATCCCCAGCAGCAATCGCGGATCCCCCGTCCCAGCCCATTCATACTCCAATCACTCCGTCTGTGGGACAGACTATTCCATGGGCCACTCCCTTGTTCTGTCTCTATTCCCTTCTCAGCTTCCATGGGCAGCTGAAGCGAGTCCTCAAAAAGCATAAACATCGCTCAGCAACAACTAAAGCAAATATGCATTTTTGACATTCCTCTCATGGCAATCACCAGAAAGGAAATTAACTCTTTCCCAGCTGAAACCAGGGCATAGGTTTAGGGCACCAGCCTGTTTTTCCAGGCAGAGCTTTGTTAGTGCAGAGCAGTGTTTTAACCAGGAGTCGTCCTGTTAAATTCAAAAACTCACCGCGAGGACTGCTTCTTGTGATTTACTGGCATATTCTGCTAGGTGTGGAACATTTAAGTGAATACACTTGCCACGAGCCTTCTTGGACTGAAGCATGAGGTATGTTGCTGACATCTGGTCATATTTCCACTAGAAAACAAAAAAAGTATTTTAATGTCCTCTTGAAAACATTCTAAGTACAAAGCAAGCTCAGCCTTCTGAAAATCTCTGCAAGTTTTTCCACCCGATGTGCATCGCTAGCGTTTGATCACCTGAGTGGAATTTCAGACTTCAGCTGGTTCTCCTTATGTGTCTGGGATCCAGAAACAAGCAATGGCTGTCGTTCTTCACGTTAGTTCATAGTATGCTCACCAGTGTGAAACTACTGCTGGGGCCAGAGTTGATCTACTGAAGTCAATGCCAAAGCTATTCATTCAGTTTAGCCAACATTTCAACTAGAGTCCCCATTTTTGGGAAGTCCCTCCCCATTCTTCCCCCAAGAGCAGCAACAACTTTTTGCATGATTTTCAGGAACCCTACTTGTGTCAGAATCATGGGTATAAGGCTTGACAGGTTTGAATTAGTTATAAGGGATTAGAAGCACTGCTCTAAAGGACTCTTCCAACCTCGAGAATTCCATGATTCTATGCTGTGCAAACGCCACAAACCTGCTTGGAAGGACTTTCCTCCTTGTAGACAGATTATTCCCTATAACTGAAGAACAAGGGACATTAACTCCACAAATCCATCCTAAGTATCCCACATACTTAAAGTCTGTTTCTACTACACTTATGTGGAAACCCTGACAGTTCTTCCAAAACTAAGAACCATGTCACTGCTGCCATGCATAAAACAAGAAAATAAATTTAAATTTCAAGGGAGAATTTTCAGATTTGGGGAAAAGCTGGAGTATGCATCATGTTTTAAGTCTCTTCCACAGCTTGCAATGCCATTGCTTCTCGCCTCCATACACCTTTTCTAGAAGACAGTTCAACTTTTGTTATTTGTATTAAAAAATGACTAAACAAATTCACTTATTTAAAAAACTGAACAGTAACTCTCAAAAATGTATTTTAGAGTCAGCCTGGGTGATGCTCTGATATTTTTTCTTTTTTTTTTTTTTTCCCCTCTTCCTTATTGAACCATTTCAAAGGAAAAGTTAACCCAGCAAATCGCATCTGTTGTTCAACCACAAACTTCTTTAAGTCTATTTTGACTTTAAGAGATTCAGAAGGCTTTTACCATGGTAGGAAATAACTGTAAGGTTTAGGAAATATCAATTAAAGGAGGAAAAGGCAAAAAGGGTTAAGACCCTGATCCTGATACCTTGCAGGGATCCCTGCAAGGAATGTGATGATTTAGTGATGGTGTTGTCAGTATTGGGTTGATGGTTGGATTTGACCTGGAAAGTCCCTTCCAACCTTGGCAATTCTATGAGTCTATAAGTTTGAACTTCAGAACTGTAATTATAAGCTACAGCAAGATTCTGGAGTTCTGCGGGGGCTCCTTAATTCTGAAAAGTATTAAAAATTTCATAATTGAGAACAAGTGAGTTTTAGTCTGTCAATACAGTAAGTTTACTCGCTGTATCACTGTGTTTAATTACTGTAAATTACCGATATAGGCTTCTTACCTCTGATATTAACTTGGATATGTCCTCCCTGCTCTGTTTGTGGAACAGGGAAAGCTCTGTTATGCAGTCTTCGTCAAGATGTCTCAGCTGCAGAACACGATGGAGAGCAAACCGTGAGGCACCGGGGTTGTCTCCAGCCCGTATCTGACTGTGACACCGTGGTGAAACTCAGTGGGCTGAGTCAACAGCCCGCCCCCATTTCAGACCTCGTGTTTTCCACAGTCAGTGTCACAGCTGAGTATCGCAGGGAACAGACTGGAAAAAGTCACACAAGTTCAACAACTCCACGGTCTGGCCCCTCCTTGGTGAGAGGCTGTGAATTCAGATAAGGAACCCTGACAGCAGATGGGATTTTTTTTTTACTAGAACGGAAGCTACGCTTTCCTCTCTCCTTAAATATTCCCAGCCATCAGACAGGCACATCTTTTCCGGGGCTGCCAGCGCAGGAAAGATCTTCTTTATGTGGAGAAACAGTGGCATCCAGTGGCCAAAGGGACACACTGGCCTCAAACCACAGGAATTTCTCAGCACTCACTACCAACAGCTGAATTATCTCCTTTCTTCCCTCTCCACACTCAGTCTCTCACACACGTAAAACAAGCAATAGACAAGATGAATATACTTTCAATAAAGTCAAGTTTTTATCCAATCTAGCAATTTTCAGTGAGGACTAGATACAGGATAAACTGTAATCACAAGTATCACACTCTCAAGAACATTTGTGTTTTGCCCCTTGAACAGAGTATTGTCCCAGCAGCCTGGAGAACCAACTGGCTGCTCCTGTGTGGAAACATGGCACGTCCTGATGAGAAGTCAGTTATTGCACAAATTAAGCATCAGCTGCAGAACACAGTGAAAACACATTTGAAGTTCCTCCCCAAGAGGAATCGAGAGGCAGCAGTAACGTTTTGACAGCAAGAGGAATTTGGGAAGAATTGTGGCCACCCCAAAGGTCACCTTTGGAGAAATCTCTCCACATCCCTGCACTGTGGGGATGCTATTAAGCCAGGACAGATACCTTAGCATTTGTCTGACAAGTGTACTTACTGGGTATTTGCTTTGCCACTGCACAGCGTCGGAATAGCCTTGCATGAGCCAGGGGTGGCTCAGTAGATGCTTCACCGAGATCCTCTTCTTTGGGTCCACCTAGTGGGCAACGAAAATCAAACTGATCCCTAAAGCAGTGAGAAAAACTGAAGAAAGAGGTTGCTAGATCACTTTTATAGCCCAAAGGCACCTCCAGGATGTTTGGGCCTAAAGCAGTGAGAAAAACTGAAGAAACAGTTTCGCCAGATCACTTATATAGCCCAAAGGCACCTCCAGGATGTTTGGCTTCATTTCTAAAACAGCTCTTATTTATATTGCACAACTAAGAACAACCGAATGCAGGCTGCTTGACGACTTCATTCAATCTTAATTTAAGCTTTGCTTAATTATTTCTATACCAAATCATCCCTCTCAAAAAAAATTTCAGCAGAAGGCAATATTTCTCTTCAAATAACTGTAAGAATTAAGAATTGTAAACTTCATGTTTCAACACTGGTTATTTTAAAAATATTTCACCGATGTAGCATTTTGACCCACACGATAGTACTTTATAGACCTTCTGAAGAGAAGCAATAGCTTTACCTGCAGCATCTGGCTGATTAGCAGCGTACTGCCAGGAGAGAGCCACTTTGGAATACTGTATTTTCCCCTCTGCAGAAAAGAAGATTCAGAATGAACCTTGAACATGTAACTCAAAAGGAACTGATAAACTGATTACTCGGATAAAACATCTGCATCCAGTTAAAAAGGAAGGACAGCAGGCACACGAATAACCTGGATAAATGTAAAGGTAGTACCAAAACCCAGCTGCTATTAGTAAGGAAAATGCCATGTTTGAATTTTCAGCTGTGTTTTTCACCCACTCAGCCTGTGAGACATCTCCATTTCAGGCCACTTCTGCTGCCGAAGCCCTCCTGATCCACCACATCAATTCATCACATCAAATGACCAATATTAGCACTTGGATACGTGAATATTCATTGAAATCACTACTTTTGAGACACTAAAAGTAATCCATCCTCAGAAGTTAGATAGTTTTTTTTTTTTAAATAGGTCACACCTAATGCTACTTTTTCCACCTTGGCTCATACCGCAAACTGCAAAAAGGTTGCAGATCTAACAGGTAAGTTTCTTGCAATCAAATTATTTCCTTTTTTTTTTTTGTAATTCTGGATTAGAGAAGTGAAAATGGCTTTCAGATTTGAGGTACAATGCAGTACCTAAAAAAAAACAAAACAAATTCACAGTCCGGGATTATTTACTTGTCAATGAAAACGGAGGAAAAAAAACCCCAATAAGTGAAAATCAGTAAACAGATGCTGTGAAGTAACATCACCATCAATTGTAATTCTAACTGCTAATGTGCTGTTCCTAGCTAGTTTGTAGGCTGTTTCACAGCACAGCTTTACCCCAAAACTAAGGCAAATAAGTAAAACACATCATCAGCATTTTGTTTTTAACGTATTGCTATAGAACACAGGACAAGGAAAACCAAAACCAGCATCTACTTGACTGAGGGCGATGCTGGAAGGTTAAAAGCTTGCAATAGCTACCAGATGCAGAAAGTCACCCCAAAAACACGTTGGTTTGGGGTTTTTTTCTTTTTCTTTTTCTTTTTCTTTTTTTAACAATTACATCACATGCTCGATTTTTTATTCAAAAAGTAAAGCTATTTATTCAACTATTCTCAGATGAAGAGACGTGGAACATCCCAAGGAAGGAAACACCACTTGTCAGTCACATGATCCTAATTAGATTCAAGCAGCAGATTATTCCATTGTCCCGGAACAACAGTGCTGAGCTGAGATTACAGGAAATCTCAGGTTCTATAATGTGCGAAATTAAATTCTGCAAAAGTGCCTAAGTGCCCTCTTTTCAGGCAATTTTCAGTTCACAAACAGGTAAAATTGAAACAAATCCATGGTGGAAAAGCAAGGCTGCACATCAGCTCCTGTGACACTATCGGTCCCCAATAGTGGGGGGGAACCCCCAGAAGGAGGTTTAAAACTTGTGTCTCACTTCATGCAAACACGTTTCACTGCCCAAACCCTGTCCATCCAAAACACTCATCTCCTGTGCTCGTCAGACAATGGTAGCAGTGCAGAAACCATCCCTGATGATCTGGAGATCTCCGTTCCACGTCTGAGCTCCCAGTCCACCCCTCAACTACGGACTGGTGTCACAGAATTAAACCCCAACCACCAAGATCATTCACCGTGCGCTGCACCTGGGCACAGAGACCAGCAGAAATGATTGTCCCACAAAAGTACACTCAGAAATGGCCAAGTTCTCAATGCCCAGTGACCTTGTGACGACCACCCGCACCCTGAGCAGAGGGGGAAAGGCAGCTCAAGCATCTCTGATGCCTCAGATGACTCCCCTTTAGTGATTTTACTGGGAAATTGCAACTGTTTGCTGACATTCTCTGGAGAAGGCTTTTGGTCACACCATTTAGTTTCAGGGAGTCCTACGAGGAGCAGGAGGTTGGACCTCCTCAGGGACCTTACGGGTCCCTTCCAACTTGAGATACTTCAGATTATTCAAGTAGGAAAGTCCTATCATTTTAAAGAGTGGCTCACCTGAATATCAGCACTTTATGTGTTCTCTTTGGATCAGTTAGTTATTGCCTTTTTTTGTTTGGTTGGTTTTGGTGGGGTTTTTTTGGTTGGTTTGGTGGAGTCAGATTGTTTTTTTTCCTGTTTAAGTTCTTTACAAAGACTCCTACTGAGCTTCCTATGGATCTTCTGCCAAGGTACTCCACTCCACTCCAATTCCAGACTCAAAAGCCACACCAATTGATGTTCTCATCCTGCCCCTGATGGTTCTGCCCCCTGAAGACACCCCCCTGTGCAGATCAGCTGCCAGTGGTCTCCTGCCAGAGCAGCCCTTCAACACCCTCAAGGAGTTTGGGGGTCGGGTTTTTTTTGTTTGGTGATGTTTTGTTTTTTTTTTGTTTTTTTGTTTTTTTTTTTAAGACAGACTGTGGATGGGAGAAGAACGATTCCTCTGCTACGAGGACAGGCTGAGGAAGCTGGGGTTGTTCAGCCTGGAGAAGAGGAGGCTCCAGGGAGACCTAACAGCGGCCTTCCAGTACCTGAAGGGGCCTACAGGAAGGCTGGGGAGAGCCTGTTTAGAAAGGCCTGCAGTGACAGGACGAGGGGAAATGGCTTCAAGCTGGAGGGGAGCAGATTTAGATTGGAGATTAGGAGAAAGTTCTTTACTGTGAGGGTGGTGGAGCACTGGAACAGGTTGCCAGGGAGGTGGTTGAGGCCCCATCCCTGGACATATTCAAGGTGAGGCTTGATGAGGTCCTGGGCAACCTGGTCTAGTTGGGGGTGTCCCTGCTGACTGCGGGGGGGTGGGACTAGATGACCTTGAAGGTCCCTTCCAACCCAGATGATTCTATGATTCTATGAAGAAGAAAGAGGTGGAAGGCAGCAAAGCCCTCGCCCAACACAGCTACTCCTCATCCCACTTTAGCAACCTCAGTGTTCTGGCAGTGAGAAGCTGCTGGTGGAGGAGGGTATATGAAGTCTGGCTGCAGCGGAAGGAGTTTACAGGACAAACAGAACCAATTGCTAAATTCTATTACTATTTATTCAACTTTCTGTTGATTACTGTGTCTTACCTTTCCTCCTCATTTTAGAGGAGGAAATGTGCTTTCCTCCTCAGCAGATGCAGAACCCTGCTTCGGGTAGACATGAGAACAGCTGACATTTCAGGACATTATTTTGGGCAAATCAAATAACATATTTGCAGTTCTATTCCATACAATACAGGGAGAAGCCAGATCAAGACTCTGATACAAAAATCCAGCCCACCAGCAAGAAAACGCTTCTCCTGAAACTAAATTTCCTCTCCTGTTATAGGGCCAAGCTGGAGCGCTGCAAAGGCTGAGTGAAGATGGAAACAAACACCCAAAATATTGATAGGAAAAGCAGCAAAATGTACCAAAATTCAGCAGGTTCTGTCACAGGAAAAGCAAAGGCCTCTCCTAATGCTTCACCATGGCTGTTCCCAGTGTATTCCAGCACCACCAACACCTACCGTGATCTTCCTGTAGACAGCCATGAGGCTGTTGTCGTCAAAGGGGAGGAAGCCACACAGCAGAGCGTACAGCAGCACTCCCATGCTCCAAATATCTGCCTAAAAAACACACGAGAGGGGAAGTTCACCAACTGCATTGATCAAAAACGGCTCAGAAACAGGTTAATATTGTTCCCCCTCTGGCAAAGCCCACACTTGACCAGTGAAAAGCAGAGTCCTTAATTCTGGGCAGAACTCTTACATTCCAAGGGAAAGCACACAACCCACACTCCATTTTTAATTCACTCAAGCACGAGTAAAACCAATATCCTCCCATGAGGGCACCAAATCCCTGCGTTACCCTCCATCTACATGGATTTCACTGGCAAAAATGGAATCACCCTTGGAATCATGCAGGATTTCCTACAGGAAAGTGTTACTGGTCACAGCTGCTGCCAGCACAGACATCAACTCAAAAGCTCTACTGCTTCTTCCCTGCTTGTAGAGGCACGACAAGGTCCACGTGCCTTCTAACAGCTCGTGTGACTTTTCTCAAGTCACAGGCGACAGGACAAGAGGAAATGGCCTCAAGTTACGCCAGGGGAGGTTCAGGCTGGATATTAGGAAAAATTTTTTCACTGAAAGGGTTATCAGGCATTGGAATGGGCTGCCCAGGGAGGTGGTTGAGGCACCATCCCTGGAGGTGTTCAAAAGACGGGTTGATGAAGTGCTGGGAGGTCTGGTTTAGTGATGATGCTCCTTGTTTGTTGTGTGGGTGTCTATTTTTGTCAGTGAGGTTGACGGTTGGACAAGATGATCTTTAAGGTCCCTTCCAACCTAGAAGATTCTGTGCTGTTCCCACAGGGACCAGAAGGAAGAAGAAGGCTTGAGAAGCACTGGGCTTCATGGAAAACCAAAACAAACCAGAAAGGAAAGGGGAGTTAGAGGCCAAGGACAGTGGTGCTAAGGTGTGGAAAAGGGAATCTGACCACACTACAACGTAGGAAGTTTGAAGGGCAACAACAGCAGTTTGGATGGACTGACAAAGGCAAGTAGCACGTTATAGACATGGAACCAGAGCTGGATAAACTCCACAGTTTTTCTTCTCTACAAGAAACACAAGGGAGCAAGTTTTCATACCCGAATTTCAAGCCAAAGATGGGCCCAGTAAAGCCTGTACAAGATCCTGGGACTGCATAAAAATTTGCCAGAAGAGCTGGATAATTCATAGAGCAAATTGCTGTGTGAAAGAACATGCAGCAGAAGGCAGGCATTGAAGTTGTTGTTTTGTGGGCACTATGATAAGGAGCAATAAACAGCGACGGGGAAGGACTGGTCAGAGAGGAACCAGCCACCCCATGACATGGGCAAGAGCACCTGGTGTTGCTCTAGGCTCTGACTGTCAAGGTTGGTCACAGGCTTCTGAGAATGACCCAGGGGATGGCAACCAGCAGTGTTGGAGAGAGGAACCAAGTGAGTGTCACTGAACCTCGGCACCTGTAAACACATGGGAAGGAGAAGCCCCTGCCCCAGGCCCTGCTCCGTACCTCTGAGCCGATGTACGCTTTGCCCTGGATCAGCTCTGGTGCTGCATATGCTGGGCTTCCACAGAACGTGCTCAGGCGGTTGTCAAGGCCACCCTAGAAGAAGACAGAAAAGCCATCACAGAAAGCATTGGCTTTAACACAGCTCTGGCAATGCTAGAGGCCTCAGAGGCTTCATCTCCCTCTGCTGTGCACCTACATCCACCTCAGATTTTGCCTGGGTGCTATATATGGCTTCACTAGGCAAAAAGGTCCAAGCCCAGGTGTATCCCATAAAGGTCCAGATCCCAAGCTGCCCCTACCCCTACAATCCCAGCAGTCTTTCCTGCAGCTCTTCCTTTGATAAGAATACTGTCCTTTGACACTGTGAAGGGACTAGGATGGAACTTGGGAAGAAGTGACTCAAGAGCTACCAGGCATGAGGCTGGCTGGTTATTTATACCGATATTGAACACAACAACTTCATGAAGAACAACTGAGAAAAAACTTCTTATCCAAGCCACATTATTATTTTGCCTGGGCTTTGCTCTAAGCAAATCAGAATGACATGATACCAGTGAGCTGACGGTCTAAAAGAGCATCTTGCAGGCAATCAAGACTGACTTAAGTAAAACAATCTGAGGACAAGGAACTGTCTTCAGATCTGTAGATCTTCTTCCCATTAAATTGTTGCTGAACAGTACCTAGCTGGCACGTTAAACTGACAAATAGAAAGGGCTCCCAGCAACCAATTTTAAACTCAGGAGACAACTCAGGACAAGCACGTGGAATGAGAGGCTTTGTAAAAGTAACTGGAATAAGCTATTTGAGTCAATCCACAATCTCCACAAACACACAAATCTCTTGAAAAGGACACACACCACTGAAACTTATCAGGGAAAAATGCACCCCAACATCAGCTTTCTATTCCAGGCCTTTCCAGGTGACAGCGGGTGCTCTACACACAATGATCTCTGCCTTAGATGATGGCCAAAGACCAGGTGTAAGAGGAAAAAGTGATCTAACAGCCTGGGCATAACAGAGAGCTCACTGCTCTCTCACACAACCCAGCCCCTCCCCCAGTAATTAGTGACAGGGTGATTTCAATGCAGTTTGAGTCAAGGGTCTTTGGGCAACTCTCTGCATTGCACTCTGAAGTCAAACGTGCAGTTTTCATGCGTGTGAAGCAGCTGATGTAGCCCTGCCCTGTGAAAGCAGCTGATGCTCTTACCTTTGGCTTTGCACAAAGTCCAAAGTCTATCAGCTTCAAATTATGCTCCTTGTCAATCAGCAGATTTTCCTGTCAAAAGAGAAAGTGGGAATGAATGCTTTCAGAACCCAAATATCCAAGAGACTACATTTTCTCATGCCTTATTTCTGCTTGTCTTTAGCAGCTAGAATTCAACTCTGTCCTGGGGAGATTTTGATCAGTCATTACCAAATCTATCCCATATTCCAGCCGAGGAACCCTAGTTCCTACCTGCTGAGAAGGGCCTGGGAGAGGTGGGGTTGATGGGCACAAGCTGGACGTGAGGCAGAAAAGGCAGCCAGCAATATCACAGGCTGTGCAAACTGGAGCACAGTGAGGCAACTGGGGGAAGTTCTTCCAGTCATCTCTTCAGCACAGCTACCAGAGCCCCACCAGCTTCTGCCCCCCCCAGCACAGCATCAATATCCAAATGAAAGAAGCTCCACAGATAGCCACCAGCCTGTTCAGAGGGTTGGAGCGCTCTCTCCAGGAGGAGAGGCTGAGGAAAAGGTGTTCCTTCAGCCCGTAGACAAGAAAGCTTCAGTGGAGACCTCATGGCAGCCTTGGAATACCTCCATGGAGGGCATGAATCATAGAATGGTTAGAGTTGGAAGGGGCCCCCGGTGCCACCTCCCACCACACCAGGGTGCTCCAAGCCCCCTCCAACCTGCCCTTCAACCCCTCCAGGGATGGGGCAGCCACAGCTTCTCGGGGCAACCTGGGCCAGGCTCTCACCACCCTCACACCAAACAAGTTCTTCCCCACAGCTCAGCTCCATCTCCCTTCTTTCACTGTAAAAGCCTTCCCCCTCCTCCTAGGGCTCCCCTCCCTCATCCAGAGTCCCTCCCCAGCTTTCCTGGAGCCCCTTGAGGGACTGGAAGGGGCTCTGAGGTCTCCCCGGAGCCTTCTCCTCTCCAGGCTGAACCCCACAACTCTCTCAGCCCCCCCTCCCAGCAGAGGGGCTCCAGCCCTCCCAGCATCTCTGTGGCCTCCTCTGGCCCCACTCCAACATGTCCATGTCATTCCTGTGCTGAGAACTCCATAGATAGATGCAGTGCTCCAGGTGGGTCTCATGAGAGCAGAGGGGCAGAATCACCTCCCTGACAGAGCTCGTCTCCTCCCAGCAGTGCACAGTGGGGTAATGACCAACAACAGACATGGAGAGAGGTTCTGACTGGAAATAAGGAAAAGCCTTTCTCCTCATAAGGAGAGTGAGGAGCTGAAGAGGTTGCCCCGAGAGATTGTGCTGCCTCATCCTCAGGAGAGGTGGATGTTGGGACAGGATAAAGCCTCAAGAAACATGGTCTGACACACAGGAGGAGGTTCAAGCAGAAGCCTCTGGAAGTCACTTCCCACCCACGTTATCACACAAGCCTGTGAATCCCTCAGCTCTGCAGCTACAGCCAACTCCTTCCCAAAGATACACACCACGCTTCCTTTGGGGAGAAGTTCTTTGCAGACAAAGATTTCAGGAGATGTCTAGGAAAATGCTTGCGTACTAAGAATTGGCTTTTCTCAGAGATCCCAGCACCTCTAAAAATGCAAATTTCTAACTCCTTTCAAGGAGAAACAGACTCAAGCTTTCCATTCCCTAAACTTGTGCTCAAAGCCTGCACCGACAGCAAAGCCGCATGGTGGGTCCAATAGCCTGCATTTATCCTTACACCTTCTGTCCAGCCACCACTTGTTTGAGTTACCCCTCTCGCTTTTCCCTTTGGGCGTGAAAACACAAGAAAGTGGCATCATAAAGTCTCTCTCCAGGTACAGGCTGGAATAAAGGGAGTAACAAAAAAGCCTCAGCAACATTCAGAGTCAGATCCATGCCTCTGCCCCTCTGGAGTTCTTTCAGAGCAAGCTCCAAGCTCCAGCTCTGCTGAGGAATGCAGCAGCAAGTAGAAATAATGCTCTTCCAGAAGATGTTAGATAAAGAGCTCTAAGCACAAGAAAACGGAGAAGGCAGAACTTACTCTGGCTGCCAAGGGAGAAATAAAAGGGGGTGTCCATCACTATTCAAGCAAGTCTGACTTTGGTTCAGGCTTACTGGTTTGAGATCCCTGTGGGCATATCCCTGGCTGTGCACGTAAGCAATCGCTGAAACGATCTGCCGAAAAAACACACGGGCTTCCTCCTCGGAAAGGCGGTCCTTGGAAATTATGTAGTCAAACAGCTCTCCCCCAGGACAGTACTGCGTGGAGACGGGAGAAAGAGAAGCCACTGACAATACGACATTGAAACCCAAACGGTGACGAGAGGACACTCACCCATCCCCTCTGTGTCACCCCCCCAGTGTGCCCTCGGCCAGCCCTGCGGCCACCAAAGGGGCTGAGGAGTCTGGGTCCTGCCTGACATGCCAAGATGGACATGTCACACTCAGGGCACAGCAACACAAACTGCCCCAGGGGTGGCAGCCACGCCAGAGTCCCAGGGCCCCACGTCTCCCCCCGATGATATTTTAAAATAACTCAAAGGTGAGGCAGGCATTAAAGCTATTTCACTTATTTTCAACAGCAATGAGCAGCTTTGCCAAGAAGAGAGAACACACAACATGTTACCAGCTTTGGTTTTAAACCAAAGCATCTTGAACTGGCTCATCAGAATGGTTTCATTTGAGCTCTGTTATCACCTACTGCTGCAGCCAAAACCAAGAACCCTGTTGCTTACCTCTAAGACCACAAACACTTTGGTGGAGGTCTCTATCACATGATACAGCTGGCAAATGTGCTGGTGCCTTAAGTTCTTCATGGCATCAATCTCTGTTTTCACACGAGGCAAGTCATCCTAAGGGACCACAGCAGCAAGCTGAGGAGCAGCCAGCACCAAACCGACGCGCGACACAGCCCTTCAGAGCACGAACAAGACAGCAAACTATTCGACTGCTCCCATTCACCCCCCGCAATTTGGGCACATCGCTCAGCCAAACCCACAGGGGCAGGAGTAAAACAGGTGTAAAATATTCCCATCAGTGTTCTCATCACATTACTGTAATAACCTTTGACTGTCTCAGTTCTACAGCCAGAGAACGTTGCCCTCCGCACAAGAGGGCACAAGGTTTGTGGAGTTCTGCTGATATTCTTGCAAGTCTGGAGCCAATAGCCCAGGGGACAAAGGGGCAGTATTTTCATAGAATGGTTTGGGTTGGAAGGGACCTTAAAGATCATCAAGTTCCAACCCCCTGCCCTGGGCAGGGACACCTCCCACCAGACCAGGTTGCTCCAAGCCCCATCCAACCTGGCCTTGAACCCCTCCAGGGATGGGGCAGCCACAGCTTCCCTGGGTGGTTTTGACACCTCCCACCCCAACGTTCTGGAGAACCCCACAAGAACAGCAGATGACACTCCCAACTTTTACATATCTCCTGTCTTACCCCCAGAGCAAGTTTGTCCATGATTTTTATTGCCACTTTTTCACCAGTGAGGAGGTGCTGGGCGAGTTTCACCTTTGCAAACCCACCTAGAATTGGGGAAAAGAGAGGGTGAGAGCTCGGTGTGACATCCCGCTTCCTCACCCTTACTCGGGGCAGGTGGGGAAGCACCTTCCTTAGAGCCAGAGGTGATCACCAACACTTCCAGAGCTCTGCCCCCCAAAACACACATGTGAAACGGGCCCTGGAGATTCCTCAGCTACAGTCAATGGACATTCTGGCAAACACCAGCGGGGTCCCACCCGTCTGTCTGCATCGAAGCCTACCTGTGCCAATCGTCTCGTGCAACTCGTAGTACTTGAGAATTTCCTCATACTCCCCTAGAGCCATCCTGGACGGGGCAAGGACCCGGCGATCCTTCTCAGGCCCTGCAAGGAGAAACGGTATCCAGCCTTGGGACCCCTCAGGCCGAGCGGGCTCTCGGAACGGGAAACTCCTCTCCCGCAGCTCGGCGGGGCCGAGCGACCCGCTCCCAGGGCCCAGCGCTACAGCAGCACATCCACCGGCCGCGGACACAGGCGGGCACCGCCTCTCGGGGGCTCTGGCAGCGGGAGAGGGCGACTGCCCTGGCGAAGGGGCGATCCCGCCCGTCCCGGCAGCCCCGTCCGCGGGGCAAAGAGCGAGACCCAGGGAGACGCCGCGGCACCGGCCTCCTTTCAGGGCCCGCCTGCGCGGAGCGGTGAGAGGCGCCCGACGCCGCCGCAACCCCACCAGAACCCCGTCGCCAGCGGATGTGCGAGGGCCCAGCCGGACCCTCCGGTACCGGGGAGCGGGCCCGGAGCTGCACTCACCGCCTCGGCAGCCGCTCCCCGGCGCGGCCGTTGCCGTTCAAATCTCCTGCCGCCGCGCCCGCTTCCGCCTCGGACACCTGGGGGGCCAATCAGCGCGCAGCTCTTGACCGGAACAGGCGGGAGCGCGCGGTGCAGGACGGGAGTGAGGTCGAGATGGAGATGGCGCCGCGGGCACCGCCATGATGGCAGGGTCTCCGCTGCCGTCCCGGGGCCCGCGCACCGGATCCCGACAGGGGACGGGAAACAGGTCCCGCTCCCCCGGGGAATCCCGCCGCACCCTTCATCCGCTGGGGGCTGGCGCTGGAGCCGCGCCCTGGGGCCTGCCGCCGCGCACAAGATGGCCGCCCGAGGAGACTACGTCTCCCAGAATGCTCCGCGGGACAGGCATTGAAGAGAGGATTTAGTAGTTGTTTGTATCCATAGAACCTTGAAATGTCTAGTAGTGGGTTGTGTTTTTAAACTATTTCAGAATTTTCTATCGTAGACGGGTAGTATAACCTTGCAGGTGCTGGCTTATCTCGGATAAGGGATGGGAGGACGACACAAGGCGCCTGGAGCCGAGGCCGAAGCTCGAAAAACCAGCCAGGACCAGGCCTGTGGTTTGGACGAACTCCAGGGGTGATCTGAGCTGGCACCGGACACAGAGGTGAAAAGTTTACAGTGAAGAAGACTACTAACTTCATCCCTGAGACCCCCTGTCGACCACTACCAAGAAGCACTGCGCAGACTCAGGGGGGCGGGAAGCTCATTTGCATGGGAAGCGGGGAAAGTTAATGCATATGTATAGGCGTTGTGTCACACCTGTTGAATATGTATTAGTTAGGGCCATAAACACAGAATTTTGCTTTGAGGTCGGCGCGCACATCTTTGGGAAGGATCCCGTGTGCGTCCGGCGCTGAATAAACACACCTCCTTTATAACCCTCCAAGGTTGTAAAGTCGTTGTTCCGCACGTCAAACACGTAACACTTTGTGTGCAAAAATAATAATAAAAAAAGAAGGTTGATGGATTGTTCTTCAGATGATGATTAACCATCAGTTTTAGGAGTAATTTTTGCTTTTCGTTACCCCCTTTTCACCCGATGGAAACACACGATGAGGGCACACGTGCTCAGGGGTGTTTGTAGGGACAGACGGGCGGCGCGAGGAGGAGCTGCAGGAGTTGATCGTCAGGAAGGTGCTGTGAGGAGAGAGGCTTCCGACGGCCCGGGCTCTGCACAGTTCCTCAAGAAACCGAAGTTGAAATCTTGGAGGTGGGGGCCTTTTTGGTGGAGGGTTGTGTTTTAACAGTCAGTTGTGAATGGCTGCCTCTTTACCTACAGAAAACATACATTTCTGTGCTAAACTGGTGGTGTGGGGTATTTTTTTGTTAAATCCATCTAATTGCCACACGTGCCTAAAGAAATGCAGTTGATTTCTCTGCTCCTCCAGCCGTGCCCTTGCCTTGACTCATCGTGTTTGTTCCCTCTGTGGCTCTGACCTGCCTCTCTTTCCTCACCCATCTGCTGAAACAGCCAGGAACTTTAACAAAGACAACAACTTGAGGAAAAAACCCACATAATCTGGGACCAATCATAAGGTTCTGCATGTCTCTCGCCTGCTTTGTTCTCAGCCAGAAATTGTCAGAAATTCTCAGCCCCGGGAGTGAACTGACATCATCGGCACTCGGAAAAGCGGCCGAGTTCTGCTGCCGGGGGCCAAAATGTGGTAGAAAATGCCATTTCCTTTCAGTCGCTGTGTGTTTATACCCCCGGTGTCTTGTACCCCCAACAGAAATTCTCACTGTGGCAAAAACATAACTTTCTTCTCACTCCCGGAACCCTGTGCCTTGGATCTCCCAGACACCCCCCGGCAGCAGGGTGCCCACATGGTGCGTTCTCTGCCTGCCCCAGAGACCTGAAAACCAAAGGAAAGGGGGAAAAAACTGCAGCTGGATCCTGGTGAGATTGTAAGGCCCTTTGTGAAGCATCTCTGACAAGTGTTTTACTTTTTTTTAAAAAAAAACAACATTATATTCGTTTTAGTTCTAGGTTTTCAAAAAAAAAACATTATATTCGTTTTAGTTCTAGGGTTTCTTTTGCCTTTTGGCAGCAGCAGCAATAAAGGGAAAGCCACCAACATGGAAATGCATTCTTAAAAACTTTATTAGTGTGACACAGGTTCCCGGCAGGGGCTGCCAGCGCAGCCCAAAGTCTCAATATCCCCAAGTGAAGCCCCCGGGCTCTCTCTGCCCACAGCTCCCGCCGCCACAGGGACCCTGCTCTGCCCGGAGCCAACCCCGCTGCCACGGCCCCCACGGCTCCGGCCCCTCTCCCCCTGGTCCTGCAGCCCCTCCGGGGCCAGGGGCGGAAGCAAGGACTAGAAACAGTGCAAAATTTAAAAAAAAAAAACCAACAAAACAACAACAAAAGGTCTGCCTGTTGAGCTGAACTTCTCCCCCATCTCTGCTAAAGGCTCAGGCACCTCCTGCGTTCACTCTTTGGCAGCGTCACACCAGGCCTTGCGTTTGTTCAGTCCAAGAGACTCCTCAAACTCCGCGGTAACGGTACAGATATGATTGGAAATAGGAAAAAAGAAACCAACAACAACCCTAAGATCCTTATCTGGTGTGTTTTTGTTGTTCTAACCAGAGGTGAGCAGTGCCCAGAACACCCGTGCCATGGCTGGGCGCGCTGGGCCAAGCGGTTGATCCCCAGTTCCTCGCTCCCCGGCCACCCACAGCCTCCCCATGGCCACCCGGGTGGGATGGGGGTGACCAGGGCTCGAGATGTTCCACCACACTCGGCGCGCTCACTGCAACGTTAAAAATGCTATAGCATAGACAATTATTTTTTTCTCTGAGATTTACAGGCACTATGTGGAGATTATGTGCAAAAGTCTGCAGATATAACTTTTTTTTTTTTTTCTTTGGCGTCGCTATTAATTTCTGAAATATATTTCTTGTAAATATAAAGCATTCTCTCCCTCTGAAAACTGAAGAAAATTACAAAAAAAAAAGTCAAAGTATATGAGTATAATAAAATGAATGGCTAGGGGGGGGGAAAAAAAAACCCACCAATCCACCTTAGTCTACTAGCGGGAAAAAAAGTAAATACGAAGAAAGTCCACAAGTATCACTGTGCAAAAACCACCCAGAATTAACCACAGGGATTTTGCATCAGGTTTTGTTCCTCAGGAATCATTATCCACCAACAGAAAAGACAACGTTTTACATCATGTGCCAGGATCCTGGGGGCAAGAAAAAGAAGAAACCAACAGTTAAAGGGTGTTTTTTCTCTTTAACTTGGGGAAAAATATTCTCAAAGGAGATCTGGGAAGAACTGTGGGACAGGGAGTCTCCGGTGAGAGATAGAAAGGTCTCTTCTGCCCGGGCAGAGAAGCCCAAGGAGATGCCCAGTGCCTGGGGCAGGTGAAGGGCTGTCACAAACCCCGGCTGAGGGAGCGGAGGGGAGGAGGGAGGGGACTCACCCACCCTCATTAAGGTTTAGCTCGTTTTCTGCTTCTCAGATTTGCTGCCGGAGGACTGTCCCTTTGCCTGCAGGAAAGAGAAGCACCAGAGTAAGAAACCATGAACTGGGCTAAAATCTAAAATAAAAGGGTGACAGAGAGTCACCGGGAGTCAGGGCTCAGATACAGACACCGTCTGCACTTGGAGTACACAAAGTTTAGGAACAGCATTTGCAACTTGTGCTGTGTATTTTCCTTTTTCCTCCATCCCCTACTCAGTTTCAGCTGAAGTTCACAAATTCCAAGTTTTTCAGCCACAGTTCCTCATACCCTGCCCCCAACATCCTTTTGCCTGCACTACCCATCCAGGTTAAAAACACATCCTTCTGAAGAGGACTTAAGGCACCCCTTCCAATTTTACATGGAAAATTTTAAGTGTTGAGAGATACTAGTTGTTAAGCTTAAAAAAGTAAGTTTTAATTAGAATAAATTTCTTAGGGTTATAATATGATGTGATTTATGCTGTTTCCTCACTTTACTCAGGATGAGCAGTTAGATTTGCTGAAGCCTTTAGGCTGCAATAGAGTTAATTTTCCCAGTAATTTTCCTAAAATGGGTACAGAGTGGGGTTTAGCTTTTCCGTACAAGAAAAATGATGTTTTGGTAGTATTTTTTTCCCCAAGTCTAGGAGTTTTCACTTCTGCCAGGGAGCACAGGTGCACAAGAACATCAACCAGATGAGAAGGAGGTGACAACCCTCCAGAGAGGCTGCAAATCAATGTGATCAGAGCAGCCAACGGCCAGCCTGGACACAGAAAAGTACTCAAAGGTGGTTTTTGAGAGCCCCAGACCAAAAATCACCACTGGGCTAAAAGATGTGTGAGGAGATGAGATCGTGGGGGTCTAATGGCCCAGGGACTTCACTCAATGTGCCTCTGTGGTGGCACCAGGCCCAGGCTGACCCTGCTGCTGGACTTTTCAATAAAATTACTTATATTTATGAAATCCAACACCTGAGACTCTGCTGCAGGAAATTCTGGGTTGAGCTTGAAGACGGAGGCAGAGCGCCCGAGCCAAGCAACCTTTTAAAATTTTATTTCTTAATACAGAAATAACTGCTTTCCTTTTCTCAGCAGATTCATTCTAGGTACTTATTTATGAATATATGTAGGTCTTCACTCATGTTTTTAAAATGAATTATAGTAGTAACTTGAGAAACAGATGTGTGGTTGAAGGAGTACATTCTAATCACTTTTAGAATGCTGTTACTTAATTTCAATTAAGGACAGAGAGGAGCAATGGGGAGCCTGAGGCAGCTGTAGGAGTGAAGTGTGACTCAGACCAGCAAACACGGAAAGAAGAAGCCTGTGGAGCACTGAGCCCCTGTAGAAGACCATGCTCTCTCTGCAAGAAACATAGTTTAGCCCCCGATGTTGAAAATTTCCCTTGAAATAGACAGGTGCTTTTCTCTTACGAAAATGGACTAAGTGCAACCTATTGATGTAAAATTCTCCCCGAAGAAACATCCACGTGATATGAATCCAAAACCCAGTTGCCCATCTTCAGTGTTCACAGTGTGTGATAACTGTCCAGATTACAATATGTAGTTCCTACCTTTTTGGGCTCTTTGGGCTTTCCTTTGTCCTTTGGGGCTGGTTTAGTGGTGACGGTTTCCTTCCCGCTTTTGTCCTACACTCCAAAGAAAATAGAATAATTACAGTTACAAACAGAAGGGAGAACTGGTGGCTCCTGCCATAACACCACCGTCACTGTGGATGGTGAAGGTGGGAGAGGAGCCATGGTGGGACACCTGCGTGTAATCACTGCCCTTAACCCACCGCCAGCTGGCACCTGGGGCCTGGTTTGATGGAGACCAGGGCACCAGGAAGCACACACAGGTAAAAAAGATGGTGTGCGGGGCTGGAGCTGGTATTTCCTTCAAAGCAATAGTGTTGCAGCAGCAGATTTAGCTCCAGAACTCATAACCCAATAAAACAGCTCCTAAAAAACACCCATAGTTTGTCTTAAGCCACCCAAGAGGAGCGCTTGGGAAGCACTTGCAGCCATCAGAAGAGCTACCTGGGAACACAGCTACTTCCCCCCCAGGAATTGCACCTGATTTCAGCTTTAGTTTCAAAGCTGCTGCTTCTCCTCCCCCCCAGGAGAGGAGCAGACACAGAAGAAAGCACAGAGAATCATCGTAACAGGTTGCCCAGGGAAGCTGTGGATGCCCCATCCCTGGAAGTGTTCAAGGCCAGGCTGGATGGGGCCTTGAGCAACCTGCTCGAGTGGGAGGTGTCCCTGCCCATGGCAGGGGGGTTGGAACTCCATGATCTTGGAGGTCCCTTCCAACCCAAACCATTCTATCATTCTATGATTCTATGATCATCAACACTCAAACACAAACTTGTAACTGGCTCTGGGTGAGTGGGTGCCCTGAGGTGAAAGCTCGGGGAAGCTGCTGCAGGATCTCATGGGGAGCTGGTCACGCGTCCGCAGCTGTGTCTGTCAAAGAGCTTTACTTCTTGCTAATATCTTGTTTGGTCAAAGATCAAAGAGCTAATATAATTTCAGCTTTGTTTTTCCTTCCTCCTTGCAGGATGCAGGGCACGGCTGCAGGAAAAGGCAGGGACAGGCTGCCAGGAGCCCACAGCAGATGAGAGACAATGATATCTGCTTAATCCAGGGGAGCACAAAAACCATCCACTATTCAAAAAAACGTGCTCCATTCCCTCTGCCTGTGGGCGAGGAACCAGGGCATAGGATGGACCACGTCAGATACAGGGCAAGAGAGGAAATGGGTAACCAGAGGGAGTTACAAGTTACCAACTAGTTTGATCTCTTGTAAAAAGTGAAAGGAGCCCATGATTTCACACCCATGTCCCCAGATGGCTCCTCTGCCAAGGAAGCCCAAGAGGTGGCTGCAGGGGTGTGGTGGACATCCCAAAGCCCTGCAGGACCTCTCCTCTGCCCACGCTCAGGGTACTGAGCTCTGGGTTCAGGGCAGGCAGAGAGCAGGTCTGAGAGTGATGCTCCTCACACGGGGACCAAACCTCCACCCCCTTCTCCACGTGCTTTTTCAGCACAACCCTCCCTCCTCAAACACCATCCTCACGTTGGTGACCTCCAGATTTATGCTGCCTCCTCTGAAAGTTCACTTCAGACCGCCTCGCAGGGGCAGCACATTGCTGGGAGAAGTTTGACAGCTGTTTGCCAGCTGTTTAAGATGATTGCACCACAAATTAACGCTCCATCTCTCATTACAGGACCTCTCCAATCCACTCCTCCTTCACCTTTCTTGTCAGCTCTGCTGTCTTCCCCAACACATGCAGAAATCTTTCCCATCCCTAGCATTTCTCTCTGAGCTGTCTCAGCTCCTGCAGCTACTGATGGGCAGCGCGTGTGGTCACTGGAGCAGGATTTCTCTGCCTCTCTACATTTTTTGGACACTCCAATCTCTACAAGAACTGTCACCACAATCCTCTCTGCTCAACTTACTTCTCCAAACCTGTCTTAACTCTCTAGAAGACCCTGAATTCCACAAACCTCCCTCTTTCCAGATATTTAGCAGACAGCAAGATGCATCAAATTAAAGTCCTAAGACAATCACTGCATCTGGAGAGTGTCTTCTGAAGAGGCTATAACCCTAAATGAAGCTGCAGCAAAGACAAGTGAGAAACTTTCCCAAAGTAGGGAAAAACTGTTTATTTCGCAAGTTATTAGCAGAAAATGTCCTACCTTTGAGTGCTGGGGTGTGGCGGGAGGCTTCGCACAAGTATCGAAGTCACCAGACAGGGCATCGATCGCGGCAGAGTCATCACGGGGCTTCTGCAATGATTTCAGTTCTGAGGTCACACGAAGTGCAATACTTCCCACAGCCAAATTAACCTTTCAGGAATTTACGTCTGCTTTAATTATCCCTTTCTTAAAAAAAAAACATACCTGAACTGTACACCTATGTTAGAACAAAAGTGCAATACTTCCCACAGCCAAATTACGTCAATTTACGTCTGCTTTAATTACCCCTTTCTTAAAAAAAAACCATACCTGAACTGTACACCTATGTTAGAACAGAGATGTCTATTTGACGTTTCCAAGAAACAGAATTTCTTTGAATACTGGACCTGGGCATTCACAGCTGTGCATAAAAACTGTGTTTATTATGAAGAGTTACTCTTCAACAGAAGTTTTACTCTCCACACTGTTACTGTTCCCTATTGCATTCTCTGGCATTTAGGAGAGTTTGCCATCAATCGTGACTTGATCTGCTCTACTGTGACAGAAGATGAGAGCACACAGCACAGGCCCAACACAGAACAAAAATACCACAAATGTTACCTTTTGTTCCTTGTGTTTCGCGTCACCCTTCGCTGTCGGCTTCGCTGGTTTGCCCTTGGGAAGAAGAAAAATTACCTCTTCATTTTGAGCTTTTCAGAGGAGTTTTATGGCACCAGTTTGTCACAGAGAGTGCACAGGGCACCCAGAAACCCCATCACTGCCAGAGGTCACTTCCTCCAGGGAATGGCAGCTCCTCAGGGATTTAGGGGTCCCACCACAGCAACACCCAAATATACACTTTGTCCCCAAACTTGGAACAAAGCAACTCAGAACGCTCGATTGTTATCCAGGGTTTGCAAGTTTCTCCTGTTTAAAGGGGGACGCTAAACCCAAGCTGTTTCAAGGGAGACTCCCTCTTTTTTCACCCATTTTTTGGAGCACTGGAAACACTGCCAGCCTGACTGGAACCCAAACTGATCAACTTCCAGAACGTTGGTTGCTACAGGGTGGTTCCATCTGATTTATTTGTTCAGATCACCCAATTTAAAAAGAGAAAAACATACTAATTGTTTGTTTTCTGAATTAAAGGCGTGTGAGGTTACACAGAGCAACTCTAAGTACGTGTTTAACTCTAATTTACGTGTTTAACCCTGACACATAAATGCAGTACACACACTTAGTTACTCAGCTCCCCTTTCTCCCCCGAATTCTGGAGAACAGGCTGGTCATGCACAGGCATTTCTGCTGCTGCCATAAGATGGCCATAAGTTGCTAAACAAAAATGAAGCCTTTTCTTACCTGCTCACCCGACTCCAGAAGCTTCCGATAGTCAGGCGGGATGGTATCGTCTCTTTCTCCAAGTTTGTCTCTGTGTTCAGATTCCGCTTTTTCCTGAAAGCATTTAATTTTTTAACAACTTTAGTACTTGTGCTAGAAACATTACTGAACAGTCAGTCAGAGCGCGAGTTAAACTCAGGACAGCTGCTTTTTTAGAATTTAAAATCTCAAAACTACCAGAAAAAAACCCCCATGTATTTATTCCACTATGTCTCATGCCTGGAAGTTCTAAATTTAGTAGCTATCAATAAGTTTATGCATTTACTAAGTTAAATATATAAATACACAGCAGCATAAAAACCCAATTATGTCACCTTTCAATTCTGCTTTTCACCAATACAACTGAAAAGAGTCACACCATGTTTCTGCACCAAATCTCATCCATGAGCTGTGATCTCCTTCCACATTCCAGCCTGAATTTATTCACAGGCAGCTTATGGTGGTTTTTTTTCCCCCCGTAATATCCTTTACCTTAAATATTTCGGTTTACAACTTGCTATTACTACTATTGTTATGCTAAAATGCGTCAGATTTTCTTATTAGTAGAAAGGTCTTCATACAATCATAGGAAGAAAGACTGAATGAAGTCAAAGCAAGCAGAAACAAGCAAGTGAAAAAATGGGACTGATTAAGTGAACAGGTCTGTTGATGAACTCGGTATCTGCGGGGTTTATAGAAGTCAAAGTTTAACAAAAAGGCGGCCACAAAATTAATTTTAGAATAAGGCCAGAGAAACCACCTGAAAAATAATTAGAATAAAGACAATAAAAGGCACTGAAATCCAAGTATTGCAAATTTCCTGTAATATTTCCACACCCTCAAATGGCTAAAGTATATTAACTAATTGCACATTTTTCACCAAAACCACAAGTAATCCAGGTGATTAAAGGGTGCACCCTTAGAAGCAAAAAACATCTCAGTGAACTGGTTGATTCACCTACGTGCAGGACAAGTAGCAGGTTGTCTGTTTTCTAGTAACCTTAAACCTACACCTGAACATCACGAGCCATGTGCTTTTATGAGAATGTAAAAAGTGTTGCAGTATGCCCTTTGAAAGAAGTCTATGAGAAGTAAGTTAAGTGTCTCAATTTGGGGGTTGTGGTGTTTTGTTTGTTTTTCCCCCCAAAGGGCACAAGTTTCAGCATGTCTTTTCTCACCTTTACTTTATCCACCATTGGTTTGTTCTCATCAGGGTCGGGCTCCCTCTGCCCCAGGGAATCCGAGAGGAGATCCAAGGCCTCGTCCATCTCTTTTCCTCCCTTACAAAGTATAAACACATTCGTGAACACAAATCAGCTGTGAAATAATTTAATTCATCAAGCTAATGTAAGTACTGACTAATGAACCATCAACCTCAGCGAACAATGAACAATCAGCTCGCTCTCTGTAATTACAACACAGTGCAATAGCTGGGGAAAAAAATTATGGAGTATTTAGACCTATAGTAAAATTAATTTCAAAAAGGGGTTAGGCAATTTATTTTGACAGGGTTTTTTTGTTACACATAAGCCTACTGGATGTAATGACAATAGCTCTATGAAAAGATTGGGTTTTGGCAATGCTACTCATTTTGGAAACATCACAATCGCTGCAGATTAGCTGCTAAGGAAGTGTCAATCCAAGTGAAAACTTACTAACACTTTATCTTCACAATAGGTATGGCCTTGGGCTAATTCATGCCAGTTTTATTCAGACACTGCTGAGAAAAAAAAAAAAGCCCTTAAAACCAACTAGAAGCCAAGTGGGAGGAGCTTTCTATTCCCCTTCCAAAGCAGGCTGGGAACGCCAGGGGGCGCTCCCGCCGCAGAGATGGGACGGGACGGGACGGGAGGAGGCGGGAGCACCCACCACCAGGAAGGGAGGGAGAAGTTCTGCTGGTGTGGACAGGGAGCGGTGGCACTCCTTCCTGTTCCTCCACTAACCGCAGCTGCTGCTCAGAACACTCTCTTTCTCCCAGTAGCCAGTATTGGCAATACATTATTTAACTTTGCAACAGCCCATATTGGTAAAACCGGATGGTGTTCTCCTCTCCCCCCATCGCCAGCCCTTGGTTGGAGGGAAGGACACACAGAGGAGGTTCTCACCGAGGCAGCGGCCGCAGGAGCCGATGAGTGCACCGAGGAAACCGTAGCAGCAGAGACAACCTCCGAGGAGTCCACGGGCTTGCCACCCTCCTTGGTTTTCTGAAACGAGACACAGCATCGTTAAGAACACAGAGGACCAAGGGAAGAGCCTGCATCAAATTCCACCCATCTGAAGGGAAACACCCACAGAGATTATTTCTGGGACGTTGCTTTTCTTAGAATCTCTACTTATTTCAGATTGAAACCCCTCCACATGTTCACTCTTCCCCCTCAACTCCTGGGTTAAGCCCCAGCACAGCTCAAGTCAGAGATGGGTTCAGTGGGACTTCAGAGGAGCCGAGATTTCACCAACCCCCTCTAAGCTCCCCAGTAACACTTAAAATTCTCAACTGTAAAGCATTACTTACACAAGCAGTTGGTAAAACATATGACAATTAACTTAGCTTTTTTCCTATTATTAAAGTCCTGCTGTGTTACTAACTTATTGCAAAAAATAGTTTAAATTTTTAACTTTTGAACTTTAAGGAAGTTTACATAAACTTTAAGGGAAACAAAATCAATATCAAGATTATTGAAACAATTTGAAAACAGAACGGATTTTCAGAAATCAAATACAATCACCTTTGTTACAGTTGGTTTAGACAATGGTGCAGATGGGGAACAGGAAAATCCTTCTGTCAAACCCTCTAGAAGTTCGTTTTCACTCATAGGCTATCATCAAAAAGGAAAAAAAAGATGCTTTTGTATCATTTATTAAAAAGTCAGCAGGAAACACAGTCTGTCTGCATTTTTAAACTGAAGAATGGGAAACCTTACTGACCTTTGAGCAATTAATTAACGAATGGAATATTTATCTGAATATTGACTTTTTTACCTGGGACTTTCCTTCAGGTTTTGGTAAGAGTGGTTTTCCATCTTTATCCTACAAAAGAAAAGCCTTTTATGGTATTTATCCTTGCATTAAACCGAGCTGTCCATCAACGTTGGTGCGATTCAAGCGCCCTGAGAGTGTCCACTGAGTGGCACCAACTCTCACACGTGACCACCACCCAACTGGTCACCTCCTGCACCTTCTGCTGCCCCCCAAGGCGTCATCTCAAAAATCCAGCTCCTGTAACTCAGAAACACCCGAGTGCTGAAAAGTCAGTCAGCATGTGGGATTCTGAGCTTCCCTATTTTGTGGTTCGGTTTCCATGGAAACCGCACGATTAAGAAATAAAACCCCAAGAAGTTCCAGAGGGGTAACAGTACTCCTGGATGCAGAGAGGCCGTATCTTTTTGCACTGGCAGCTCTGGGGGTGTCATGCATGTCCTGCCATACATGAGCAACCCATTTACAGCAACGGAGTTCTTTGGCCATGTTTGTAAAAATACCATCTTAAGATGCTGGGGTTTTTTAACAGCTGTGACCAGTCACAATTTATTAAGTTCTAAAATGCAAAAAGCTAATGAAAGTCTTCAGTGCACTGATCTCAGCCCAAATTACTCATGTGTAGATGCTTGTGTCCAAACCACGTCTGTGCCCATGTGGGTGAGAGATCTCCCATATACAGGAACTGAACTTTTATATACTGTAACTGAAATTTTTATATACTATAAAAATGACTGAACTAAAAATCAACATTTCAAAATGAAATGGAGTTTCAGTTCCAGCCATATATTCTGAGGAATGAAAGAAAAGTAAGCCTGAAACAGCACATTAAATAAATTACTTTTGCTCCTGTTAATCTGTACTCTGGAGGAATCGTTTCTTCATCTTCACCCAATTTTTTGCGCTCTTCTTGTTTGGTTTTCTCCTACAAAGGCAAAATAAAAACAGTATTAATTAAACCAAATAACTACATCCCAACAGAGACGCATGTGAGCAAGCTTTCAAGTCTTCACTCTACTGATTCAAATTAGTCTTTCAATCAAACTACCAGATAAAAATCTCATGCAGATTAAAAGAAAGCCTTTTCTCTTAAGAAAGCCTGAATTTCTCAGCCTGTTTCTTCCTGTGTGTATATGAAGTAGCTCTACCTGTTTCAGTGAAGATCAAGAGACAACCATGGACCAATAACAAAATAGAAATATATCTCCAGGACTTAATTCCTGACTTTTCCTTGAAATCCACCCAACAGCCATCTGGGCTGCATGCAGAGGAAGGGGGAACACAGAAATCAGTGGCCAACCTCAAAAATGAGCTCCCCTCATACAAGTTATGTTGGAAGATGACAACTAAGAAAAGGCAGTAAAGCCAACTTTGTGAAGCTCCAGCACCACCAGAAGAGCTGTCACAGAATCCCAGGCTGGCAGGGACTTCTGGAGACCATCCAGTCCAAACCCCTGCCAGAGCATGGTCACCCAGAGCAGGTTACACTGGAACTTGTCCAGCAGAGTTTGAATGTCTCCAGAGAAGGAGACTCTACCACCTCCCTGGGCAGCCTCTTCCAGGGCTCTGCCACCCTCACAGGAAACAAGTTCCTCCTCATGTTTAGATGGAACTTTCTATGTTCAAGTTTGTGCCCGTTCCCTCTTATCCCGTCACTGGGCACCACTGAAAAAAGCCTGGCCCCATCCTCCTGACACCCACCCTTTAAGTATTTACAGGCATTGATCAGATTCCCCCTCAGTCTTCTCTTCTCCAGACTAAACAGACCCAAGTCCTTCAGCCCTGCCTCAGCAGAGAGATGTTCCATACCCTGATGATCTCTGTAGCCTCCACTGGACTCTTTCCAGCAGTTCCCTGTCCTTGAACTGGGGAGCCCAAAACTGGACCCAGTGGGACTCCAGATGGGGCCTCTCCAGGGCAGAGCAGAGGGGCAGGATGACCTCCATGGACCTGCTGGCCACGCTCTTCCTGATGCCCCCCAGGATTCCACTGGCCTTCTTGGCCACAAGGGCACATTGCTGGCTCATGGTCATCCTGTTGTCCACCAGGACTCCCAGGTCTTTCTCCTCAGAGCTGCTCTCTATCAGGTCACCTCCAACCTGTCCTGGTGCAGGGGGTTATTCCTCCCCAGGTGCAGCATTCTACACTTGCCCCTGTTGAACTTCACCAGGTTCCTCTCTGCCCAACTCTCCAGCCTGTCCAGGTCTGCTGGATGGCTGTGCTATTTTTGGCCCTAGTCAACAGTCACAGAATCACAGAATCTTCTAGGTTGGAAGGGACCTTAAAGATCATCTTGTCCAACCGTCAACCTCACTGACAAAAACAGACACCCACACAATAAACAAGGAGCATCAGCACTAAACCAGACCTCCCAGCACTACATCAACCCGGCTTTTGAACACCTCCAGGGATGGGGCCTCAACCACCTCCCTGGGCAGCCCATTCCAATGCCTGATAACCCTTTCAGTGAAAAAAATTTTCCTAATATCCAGCCTGAACCTCCCCTGGCGCAACTTGAGGCCATTTCCTCTCATCCTGTCGCCTGTGACTTGGGAGAAGAGACCGACCCCCACCTCTCTACACCCTCCTTTCAGGGAGTTGGAGAGAGCAATAAGGTCTCCCCTCAGCCTCCTCTTCTCCAGGCTGAATAACCCCAGCTCCCTCAGCCTCTCCTCATAAGTCAGCACCATCTGGTCCAGGGTTTGAGGTGGCCAATGGGGACATTCAGACTGTGACTGTGAACGGTGTTCCCTTAGAGAGAATACACACATTTCTGTGACTTAATTAAGGCTCCTTGTTAAAATAAGATCAGTGATAAAAAGCGAAGTTTTCTGTGTCATTCCTAATTTGAACAACTCATCACAAATTTGGTTGCTTTTGGAAAAGGATGGTAGTGGATGCCACGTGTGATGTGGGTGTTGATTCATCTCTGGCTCAGCAGTCAGACATGGAGGGAGCTGAGGGAGCTACTGGACTGCCCCAGGCAAAATGGTCAGGAAAGTGCACTCACTGTGTTGAAATCCTACCAGTACTTCCTAAGCAGAACGTAACTGGTTTCACAAGCAGATTTCATTTTTAAAAAAAGTGGAACTACTATCTCAAAATTGCTTCTAGCCTGAGTACATACAGCAACGCTGAAGGTAATTCCATCAGCAGTCTATGTTTTGAGGTCTGGTTGTTTCTCTACCTTAACTTTGTCCACCACAGGTTTCTTTTCCTCTGGATCGGGCTCCCTCTTGCCCAGGCTACTGGACAAGGCTTCCAGTGCTTCATCCGTCGCGTCACCCACCTGCAAGGGTATTGAAACACACAGAAAACCACAATTCTTACTCTGGAGTGCAGCTGCAGCTGAAGAAACCTGCTCATACACTATCAGCACCAGCCACACACAACTTGAGATAAAAATTGAGAAGTAAACTAAAAAAACTGTAATGTTTCTCTCCCTTTAAAGTGTGGGTCTTCCCACACTTTAATCTGCTGCGCTCAGGGCACAAGGAAACTTTGATGGAGGTTGCTCCGTCAACAGGCTTCTCCTTCCCAAAGACTTAGTCACTGCTAAAATGTCCCACAGGGGGGCTGCTTGGTTTGTTTTTTAGCAGAACGACATGTATTTTGAGAAGAGATGCAAGAACATCAGCCATTAATGCAAATCCTCCCAAATATTCAGTAGGGCGGTTATAAGTTTTTGTAGAATTTGTCTTTTCCTGCAGCATCCGTTAAATTCAAAAACAGAACTCCAGCATTCAGAGCTGGAGCAGACACCAGGAATCACAGAATCTTCTAGGTTGGAAGGAACCTCAAAGATCATCTTGTCCAACCATCAACCTCACTGACAAAAATAGACACCCACACAACAAACAAGGAGCATCATCACTAAACCAGTCCTCCCAGCACATCAACCCGTCTTTTGAACACCTCCAGGGATGGGGCTTCAACCACCTCCCTGGGCAGCCCATTCCAATGCCTGAGAACCCTTTCAGTGAAAAAATTTTTCCAAACTGTCAGTTTGACTTTCCTCCACTAAGAAGGTCCCCGACCTTCCCCGTTCAGCTTGTCCTTCTCTCGATTTTGGTTTGGGGAAGCACTCAGCCTTTGTGGCTTGCCTCTGTGGAGGAAGCACATGCCATACTGCAGTAGGTATCTGGAAAATATGCCATAGCACTGCCCAAACGAAGCACCGAGCTGTGCTTTAGCTGCAGCTGAGGCCACTCACCGAGGACGCGGCGGAGGGAGCCGCAGCCTGCACGGTGCAAGCTGCTGCCCGAGGGACCGCTTCGTCCACAGCGGGCTTTGTGGAGGCAGGAGATGAAGGCTTCTGAAACAGAACAATTACACCACGTTTTAACCAAGATGCTCACAAACCCCAAATGTACCTCTTAAGTTGCCTTTTTTTTTTAAATACAGCACAAAACAAGAAAAGTCTAACTTTAAAGGCAGAAGCCCCTCAGCTAAGGACTCAGTGCCCATACCGCATGTTCCACTGAAGGCAACGGGGTTGGAGGGGGGGGAACAGAAACAGAGGAAAAAATTTTTCTTGAAAGAACAGTAGCATTATCCAGTCTTAGCAAAGCCACCAGTGTCAGCATCTCAGATGAAGTGGAAAGGCAGACGTACTTTGGATGTGCTGCTGGGCTTTGATGGTTTGGACTGTACCGCAGGCTGTGCCGGGCAGGAAAAGTCCTTGGAAAATTCATCAACAAGATCAGATTCACTCAAAGGCTGTAAAATACAAAGACATAATTGCTACGGGTGACTCACTGCCTGTTTTTAATTTACTTTTTCAAGACTTGTGTTTCAGCTACTCAGAAAGCAGAGAAACTTTTGTAGCCTACACCGAAACAACCTTTCACATTCACGTGCAACAAAACAGGATGAATTTCACAGTACCTAAAATTAAGAAAACCACTTTTCAGAATGAGTCAGTTGCTTTGTTATCAAAAGCCGATATAATGTAGAGAACACCATGTTCAATACTGCTCAAAGGGCTACTGGAAAGGAAAATGCAACCTCTTAATTAGAAAGAAAAGAAAAAGAATGCTAATATTTACTAGGTAGTATTTAACGTAACAGCATCATATTGTTATAATACTTCAAGCATAAATTACATATAGGTGGTGGAAAAGAGCACCATCCAACTATGATTCTCCCATTTTAATCTTTTTTCTCTTATTCCCAGCAGAAGGAGGACTCCCTCAGAGGCAACATCACCTGGAACCTCTCTCAGCTTGGGCACTGACTGCTGACACCCAGTGGTTTTCACTGCTCATGTTTCAGGGAAAAGTGAATAATCTGCACTTTTATTTCCCTGCTGTGTGATGGATTACAATCCCTACAATGTGATCTAGTACTATGTGACCTACGCACTTCTGTGACCTATTACTAATGCTCCTGGGATCCCACAGACTACTGTTTACCCCTAAATGTTTAAATCTTTGCTAGTAATGATCACCACATGCAACTTAATTGGTTAAAGCTCATTTGGTCAAATTCATAATATGTAAAACAACATTTCTAAAGACAAGTCTATTATTTTCCCTTCCACCTTCCCTCCTTTGTAGATCAGAGCCCCTAAGTCTTTATGAAACCTCTCTTCGCCTAAGGCCCCCCTTTTCCTAACGACTGAATTCCTCTTTCAGCCACTAAATCAAAAAAGCTTTTGGGCAATAACAACTTCTTTCACACAAGTAGTGTCGCTGCACGTGCCTACGGGTCTGCAGAACGGAGGGCCAAAGTAAGAGAAGTCCTCACGGGAATCATGAAGGAAGAAGAACTTTGCATTCACCAGGAATTGTCCAAGGACTGTACGTGACTGAAGGTTTGTCAGCTATTGACATAACTTTTTTGTTTCGCTGATTTTGGTTTCTGAGATCTACGTTACTGATAACACCAGCCAAGTCGCTCAGCCTTTCCTCCTAAGAGAGACAATCCAGGCCCACAAAGATGCTGAGGGACCGGAGCATCTCTCTTACAAGGAGAGGCTGAGGGGCTTGGGTCTTTTCAGTCTGGAGAAGAGAAGGCTGAGGGGGGATCTGATCAATGCCTGTAAATACTGAAAGGGTGGGTGTCAGGAGGATGGGGCCAGTCTTTTTTCAGTGGTGCCCAGTGATGGGATAAGAGGTAACGGGCACAAACTTGAACACAGAAAGTTCCATCTAAACATGAGGAGGAACTTCTTTCCTGTGAGGGTGGCAGAGCCCTGGAAGAGGCTGCCCAGAGAGGTGGTGGAGTCTCCTCTGGAGACATTCAAACCCCACCTGGACTGGATGATCTCCAGAGGTGCCTTCCAACCCCATACCATTCTGTCATACTGTGAATACTGGTGAACATGTTACTCCAAATTGCCTGAGTGAAGAAATGTCCAGAAAAATTCTGCAACATATGACTTCGACAGCGGTGTGATTCCCTTACAGAACAGCTACTCAGTGATATCCGTGTCTCTGACTGGCAGGGTTGGATGAGGACAGGAACACCTACCCTCCTACTAACCACTGGATCCTTTTGGCGTGAGACCTCATGGTTCTGAGCTCATCTTCTGCTTTGGTTTTGTGCTGGACTTTGGACAAACTATGAACCAACCTCCCTTAACTTACGCCACATTCCACTTCTGGAGTTTTCCTACTTTTTTTCCACGTGCATGCCATCTTATTTGTTCTCCCCATGAGGCAGGAGGGCTCGTCTCCCACCACTGGTGCCTGAGGTGGTGCCCAGGTGCCCACCACCTGCAGAGCAATATCTCCTCTCTTCTCTCCCTCCTGACATCTCGGCGGGTGTCCCTTCTGAGCAGCCCTCACACAGCTCCCTCTCATGTCTAAGGCCTGACACACAGATTTTTACAGACATAAAAGTCTTTTCATCGCCGCCTTTGCATTCCTCTGTAATTCAGGCTTGAATGGTACAAATGACTTCACATTTCTGCTAAAAAGGTACAGCGTCGTCCTCACTCAGACTGGCCCTGACTTTCACACTTGTTTCTGAAGAATGGAGGTTTCCTGTACTTTCTGAATTTTGGCAGTGCTCCTCAACTCACAGTATTTCCAAAGTGAAGCCCTCCGTTTCTTCACTGCACAGTTCCTTGGCTTCTCCAAATTCTTCCTTTCTTCCTGTGCCCTTTGTACCTTTCTCTTTCAATCTCAATCTCTTCTTTCTGCCTTGCACTCTCCAGGCCACGGTGGATACTTTTTGCAAAGTTCAAGTTGTTCTTTTGTGATTAGGAAAATGTCCACAGCAGCTTTTTCCCTTTTCCCAGTCGTGTTCCTTTATATTTGATGACTAATGAGGGGAAACTGTCAAGAGAACAAAGAGGTTTTCCTGCCTCGCCCCTCTCTGCCATTCAGTAGCTCAGACAGCCTTCTCCAAATACACTAACTCCCCAGACAGCTTTTCTTTGGGCCAGCAGTTATTTCTGTAATTCTCTCCTACCTTCACCATCTCTAAACCTTTTCCTTACTGTGAGCTCTACATTCAGAGCCAGTGAATTTCAATAAAACCAACATTCACTTGACACCTCAGATCAGCAGATTTTGTGCAGGGAAGTGAACAGGCAAGCAGACTTACATAGCGGCACAGAGAGAAGTGATGACAGAGGGGGAGAAAGCGGGGTATCTAGTCACACTCCTACAAAACTGTCAGGTTGCTAACCTTAGGTTTCTCTTCAGGCTTTGGCAATATCGGTTTTCCATCTTTATCCTAAAAGTAAAGTTAAGTATTATTGACATTTTCCATTGCTATAACAAGTGCCATACTCCATAATCACCAGCAAAATAATATAAAATAAATGATACACACAAGATTAAATCAGTGACACAGGAATGGGAATTTCCATAAACAGGGGGAATTCTTACATGGCCAGGTAAGTGGATAAAATAAGCAAATGGGCAAAGAGACTGAAAAGTGCCCATTCCTATCAGCATCAATATGCGGCAGGAATTAATTCCACAGTAAAACAGCAGGAATTCATCCAGGAGCAAAACAAGCTTTGACTGCAAAAGACAGACTTTTGCACTTGAACAAAGAGGGGTTAAATCCCAGGTCTGCAGTCAAGCACACATGAAATCTCTAAAAAGAAGGGTAAAACCACTCTTTTCAGAACAGAATGTTAACATTCAGCTCCAGAGAGGCCAGTTTATGTAGTTACCTCATTAACATCAATTGTACTAATAATCATTACAAAAACTTTAAATTCTTAACTTTATGGAAAACGCATCTCAGTTCTATTGTTGTTTTGCTTAACCTTGGACAAATCCCCATCAATTGAAGCAGTTAATTTTTGAGTTAATTTTCATACCATTTTATAATAGTGTTTTCAAGGTTACATGACAGGAGGACACCCACGAGCACTTCTGTAAAGGGATGGATTTAGCAGCACTGATATTTAATATATTAAATATGTTAAATATTTAAGTATATTAAATATATTTTAATATATTAAACATATTGAATATATTTTTTAAAGTAATGCCACCCTTGGAGAAGGAACAAGTGATCTGGGAAAATCATCTTTGCTCAGAATGCCTAAAATACCATCAAAAGTCATGCCCACAAAGGAAGGGAACTAGAGATACAGAAATCACCAATGGGAAAAGCCACTGACTCAATAACTATTACTGCTTGTTTTCCTCACGTTCTCTGCCTGTCTGTGGTGAAAGGAAGTGTCAGAGGCAGGGCCCTGTTTACAAAGCAATAGAGAGATGAAAAACTTACCAGCTCTGGTGTTAACCTGTATTCTGGAGGTATTGTATCATCACGTTCTCCAGTCTTTTCTTCTTTTTTCTCCTTAGCTTTTACCTTAAAAAGAAAGAACAAAAATATCAACTAGAGAAATTAAGATAAAAGCCCAAAGTACACTCAACTTCGCTGTCAAGATCCTCCAGCCTCCTGTTTGAAGCAGTACTAGCATCAGCCAAAATTATTCCATATAACAAGATATTAAAGTTCCTCAATTTACTCCTATCAAATTTCTGTGGCAAAATAGTCACGGCTTAAGAATCAATGTTATGTGTGAATATGGCTATAATATTTTAAATCCTAAAAAACTTCAGACAGTATTCAGAGCCATCACTTTGCAAATTTCAGAATTTTTGAGGCGTACAAAATCCTCATGTTTCCTTGGATTTCAACACTGATTATATAAGCCATATTCTGTATCTCTTTTCATCACTGCTAGTGAAACACAGCTTTCACTTCTCTGGACCTCCCTCATGAAGTAACGCATCCACTAAGTTATCTGAGTGAATCTGCAGTACAGCGTGCTCTTTTTTTTTGCCAAAATTGAGCTCCAGCAACTTCTCTCAGCAACGAGTGATTTTCTGCTATTTCCCTGTCATTTGTTTGCTCTGAGCTGTAAGCGAACTCGGGGGGGGAAAGCAACTGATATTAGTGGGGTTATGGGAAGAGTTTGCAGAACTAAACTAAAAAGTCAAGGCTTAACAGATAAACGCTGGGCTACTGCTGAAGTCTAACTGTTGAAGAAAAACAAAAGACTTAGAAGACACAGCGAGAGGCAAGACCCAAATTAGAAAGCTGATGGGGACTGATGGAAAAAAGGAGTACAGGCACCAAAACCCAAAAAGTTAATTAAAAATCAAACAGCAAATTCAAAACAAAAACTTGCTATAAATTGTATCCAGTGCTTGGGGAAAGAAACGGAGCAGCTACAGCTAATGCAGGGAAAGGTGTGTGTATGCAGGGTTCTACACCCAAATGAAATGCTCAACATTTTGCAGACCACCCTACTGTATTCTGTTCTACCTGAATTCACTTTCGCCATTTCTTACTTTTCTTAATTACGTAAGACTCAGACATTCCTTAAGCCTTTGATATGAAACTCACTTTGCTGCTTTTTTTTTAACTTCTTTTTTTTTAAGGGTTTTACAACGTTTTTTCACATGGTTGTACAGTATCTAACAAAGAGGACTCGAGACTCCACAAGAGGGTCCAAAAACTGCTGTAAAACCAAATAAGATTGTACCTCAGACACCTCCACAACAGGGGTAAGATCTTTTTCAGGCTCAGGTTCAGGCCCACCGAGAGTATCAAGAAGAGCTTCCACCGCATCTTCTTTCATTTCCTGCATTTAAGAAAATATGCAATTTCATTATTTCTTTAAACTGACACAGGTTTTACCTTACACATCTTTTATGCTGTTCATAAAGCAAACAGCCACCACCACACTGCTCGTTTCTGTTTGGCTTCATCTGGTTTCCTTAACATCACATTGTAGGATACGGCAAATTACGTGGTAAGATTAGCACCGCCTCATCAACACGTCTCCTCTTACGGAGAGGGGAAAATTGGAAAAAAAAAAAAAAAAAAAGAGAAATTAAAAATAAAAGCCAGTAGCTTGTCCTTTGAACCTCTCCAGGAACAAATATCATCAAATACTGCACTCTCCGAGAGAAAATATGGCATCTACCAGACTTTTT